ATTACAAAAATTCTAATTTTTGTTGTCGAAAATTTTTTTGTACAATAAAATGAAGTAATTAAATGAAATAATTAGTGAAGTAGTAAAAGACGGATATAGTAAGATTATTTTATAAAATTAAAAAATTTACAAGAAAAAATTTTTTTGTCATAATAAGGAATAATAAAAAAAAAAATCATAATTAAAAATCATAATAAATGTTTAAAAAGTGTTTTTTTCTAAATGTTATTTATTATCAAGTGTTATACTTGAAGATGATCTGCTTTTGATCTGAATAATTCTTCACGTTGATATTGTTGTAATTTACGTTGGTACTCATTATGATGAACCTTTTTTACACCTCTTTTCAACTCTTCTAAAAATACAAAAGTGAGACAGAAATGTGGTCCAATTCTCATGAAATGTGTACCAAATCCACGATACAAAGCTCTCCAACCCTCATTCTTTACAATATTAGCAATTGATGACATCATTGATTCGTTGGATAATGTTGTTGATTTTGCATTATATAATCTTGTTCTCCTATAATTTATGGAATATTGATTACATTAGCATACTAATACATACGTAAATAAATTTATATGATAAATCTCATTATAATAAGATAATAATTAATTGCTTACACAACGTCTAATGGGTTCATGAATACGACACTTATGAGAGCACTGATAAGACTACATCCGATATCCAATGGCACGCCATCTTTATAACCTTCACGAATTGAATAATCCTTTAGCATTGTGTAAGAAGAGAGATTTGCTGCACTCCCTAATATTCCCCTGTATATGGAAATAGTGGATCCACGATAAAGACCTTGCAGACCACCTTCTTGTCTAACGATATTTCCTAGAGCAGAAGTTACCGACGTGTACTTGAACTGATTACCAACAGCAATTTCGCCAGCAGCAGAACTTTGCAGTCTTGTTTTCACCAATTCAAAAGGATTTGCTGACACAGCGCCCAATGCACCACATATTCCACCCGCAAACATTCTTTTCCAAGCTGGAGCTGTAGAAATATTTAATTTATTATCATTATCATTATCTCTTGGATGCATCATTGTCAGTATTGGATCATAAAGTCCCTATTTGTATATAAGAATATTTGTGGTTAGTTAACAGACTAGAATATAAATGTACATAAATTATTGATCGATCGATCGATCGATTGTACATACCAAACGAAAGACATTTTTAGAACTTTCTTTTAGAATCGATGGGGCCAGACCTTTTTCAAGACCACGAATTCCCTCATATTTAAAAGTTTTCCAAAGACAATCAAAACTATTTTTATAAACCTAATAACAAATAATAAATCATTAGAATAATCACTATATATATATAATTAATTAATTAGCCAGTCAGCCAGCCAGCCGGTTAGTTACCTTGTCAGCAGAAACGCGAACGGTTTTACCAGCAGAATCTTTCATAAATTTGACTTCACCTTGAAGTTGCATCCTAACTTTAACAGTGTCAAAAGGTAAAGTAAAAATAACAGCCATGCTAGGAGCCAAAGCACTTAAAGCAAAATTTTCAAGTTGAGAAATATTTTTCTGTGGTGCAAGGGTTTTAAGTGGTGGAGCGGAAGAAAGAGAATTGTTTTTTTTTATATTCATTGAGGACATTTTTTTTTTTTTTTTGAAGAAAATTTAAAGATTTTGTGTGTTGTGTATGTGTGTTGCTATGAATAATTTTTTAGCAAAAAAATTTTTGTACAATTTATATAATGGGTTATTAATTTGATGATGTCAATGTTGATTTTGTGAGAGTGTGGATAAACTTTTAATACTTTGATATTATTGTCAGATGAAGACGGTGTTTGCCGTCTTGGTATTATTACTATCAGTGTTGGTGTTGTTGTTAATTCTTTAACTTTTATTCTATTTTTACGAAACATATAAATAAAGAGATGATTGATGATGATGTGATGATGGTGATTTATTATATAAAATGGGAGAATAGTAGAGTATATATATGGAGAATAGTAATATAGTAATATGATGATGAAAAAAAAAAAATCAAACAATTTTTTTTAAAAACAATTTCTTGAAAAAAAAAATTTTTCAAGAGTTTAAATAACTTTTAAAATAAAGTGGCTCAATAAAAAAAAATTTTTTTTTTTTTGATTAAAAATAAATAATAATTAATATAAATAATAGAAATTATTGTTTAATTTTAATTTAAATTGATAAAAACGACTACTAAGACATGACTTTTATTATACAGCTCCGTAAATTGCCGAAATTTATTTAACCTGGGTTGCATTATATTTTATTTATTTACTTATTTTTTATATTAACACACGATTAATATAACAATAAAAAACTTATACAAAAGTGGATGGTTTTACTTTTCTCTCGCTAAACTTTTTTATTGCGTTTGTTTCGTCATAATAATCTCAACTTTTCTCCATTCCAAAAGAAAACTTGGGACGTTTGAAAATTATTGAATTTTGTCCTCAAATATCTCTTTTATTAAAATCATACGATAATGATGATGACTTTTTTTTACAATTGACCAAAATTACTATAATAATAATAATAAGGAAAATATTTTCTTGTAGATCTTTTTGATATATTCCGCATTTGTTAAATTGTATTAGTATTATTACATTTATATTTATGTGTACAACCAAACATTCTTCTCACACACCACTTTTTTTTTTTTTTTTTTTTTAACAGACAGTTAACGAAATTCCGTCTCCAGTTAGAAAAGTTTTTGCTTCTCAATAAACCATAAACAAATTCATACAATATATGCCGGGATTACTCGGATGTAAACTATTTTTAAATTTATTATTGTGATTTCGTTCACTTCTATTTAAAAAAAAAAACTAGATTTTATTTGTGTGGATAAACATATCAATTAATGAATGAATGAGTGAATGCACGCACATATACACGACGATTAGATTTTTGTTTTTTAAAATTTTGTTTATTGTTATTATTATTTATAAATCCGGTGACAATTCGAAATAAAGACAGGATAGTAATAGGAGAGGAAAAACAAAGAAAGAGCGAACGAACGACAAGTAAACAAACATGCACAAAAAAAATAATTGACAAATGACAAAAATACCTGTGTTTTCGTGTTTAATTAAAATAATAAATAAGAAAAAAAAGAAGGAAAGAAGGAGTGTATTGACAACATACATATTTTTAAGAAAAGATAATGCAATAAAATCGTTTCTCACAATTAAAACTGATAACTTTATAATTATTTATATTTAAAAATCCCAGATCTCGATATTTACTTAATACATCTAGTAAATATTAGATTAAAAGGTCTGGGTCCTTTTCAATTATTATCATCAGTAATAACAAACTCACATTTCAAATGTATGGCATTTAATTTTCTTGGTGAAGATTGATTTAATATTGCAAAAAACACTTTATTTCCATCTATTGTCTCATCTCTAAAAGACTTGATAAATCCAAGACTTTTTAAATTGATACAATTATCAAACAATTCAATTAATTGTGTACCCAATCCATTCTTGTAAAACAATATTGCCCAATTGATTGCATCACTGCTCCCAAATATTATTCGTCACTTGATCCATCCATTACAAATTGTTAATTTCCTAAGGTTTTCTCCATTGATTTTCATGGATCAGCCAAGTCTAATAAAAATGGCCAGCAATAAACATTCAAATAAAATTCTTGAATGTTTGGAGGTAAGATTGATTGTAAATCAATGAATGGAAATAGCCTGATTATATACACATCATCATCACTATGGTCATCATAAACGGTTAATTTAATGTTTCTAAGTTTTTAAAAGTTCGTATTAGGCAATATAACTCATTTCCCCCATAACTTTCATAATCAATTATTGACTCTGAATGTTTTGATGCCGAGTTTCTGAAATTAATTGACAAAATTATGACTCAACAACTAGTTTTTTAATCTGTTTTTGTGTTTTAATTAATTCAGCTAGACTAAATTCACATGAAACATGCTGTTGTTGCTTATCAAGAACCACATAATAAATCATCAAGTAAAGTACATTTATACATTTCAAATGCTGAATATTTTTGCAAATTTATCAAGAAATTTACCATTCGCAATTTTTTATCAGCTATTTTAAGTTTTCTAATGTTCTAAAATAAAATTCGCTAATCTCTCTTCGAGACAACAGGCTTTGTTAGTTATTACCAAATGATCAATGTTATTTAACAAATATGATAAATCTAATTCAGTAGCAAATTTAGCATAATCGCACATTGGTGGTTGTTTTTCCAATAATTTAAATCTCAATTAAATATCATTTTCCACTAAAAAACCCTTATCTTCTGTAATAAACAATTTGATTATTTTGCTGCTATTGACAGAATGTAATGGATTTCTCCATTTAGCTGTGATTATGTTATTGTGCCGAATTTTTATTGATTAGAATGCAAGGATACAATGTTTTATAATCATTATCCTCTACGTATTTCAATATTTCGATTAAAGTTCTGGTGGAAAAGGTGGTGAAAAAATTTTTTTTTTAAAAAAAGTATTCAATCAAGGAGCAATGTTACACGTAAACGTCATCATTACTGGTGGTACTACGCAGAGGTAGAGGGATTGAATAAATATAAACTCAAGCTGAGCTTATTCTTTCATTTTGACCTTTTGACTTTGTTGAATTTTAAAAATAAATAAATACGGCATTATGTTCACGCGGACACACGACTGTCGTATCATGTGACTCAATATTCAATTATTATACGATCATTTTCATTTGCCAAAACTAATTAATAATATATATTATTAAATATAAATGAATTAATTATTAAATAAATAAATTAATTATTAAATAAAAAATATAATGTAAGTGTAAATAAATGTAAACGAAAATGTAAATGTAAATATAATGTAAAATAAATGTAAAAATGTAAAATGTAAATGTGAATGTGTGTGCATATATATATATATATAATATTAACAAAAATAAATTTATTAAATATAGTATCTATATATTTATATTTCTATGTATAATATTTTTTCATTTCATTTAAAATCCTATAGAAACCATTAATACATAACCAATTGTGATTACTGAAAATAATCCAATTACAGAGCCTAGTACACCAGATTTTAGGAAATCATATGTAGTCAAGTATCGAACACCCATATCATCTTCCATCATAATCGCATTCATATTTGGAAACCCTGATACTGGTAATCCCATTGATAATGAGCATGTTAATGCCGAACCCTGTTTAAATGTAATAAAAGGATGTTATTATTATTATTGTGAAATTATATTTTTTTAAAAAAAAAATAATTACCATTACTAATAAATTTGGATGTGAATCACTTAATCGACGACCAACTTCTGCAACAATAGGTAAAATGATAAGAGCAGCAACAGTGTGACTGATAAATGTTGAAAAGACAAGTACCAGGATGGAGAAAACCACTAAAACTTGCCAAACTCCAAAATCATTAACCATAGCCTGAATATTTTTAGCTATAAAGTGTAATAATCCTGAACTATACACTGCCTTTCCAAGTGCAATACCACCCATAGCAAGTATAATCACTGTCCACAAGAAATTATTGAAGTCTTCTTTGGTCAAAATTCCTGTTCCAAAAAATAAAACCAATGGAACTATTGCTATAATCCCCATATCACCCAAAAAAAATTCCAACTTCTTTTCAATACACCATAAAACAATCGTTATAATGGTAACTACTATCACATAGATTTGTGATCCAGTTAATGGGTCTCTGGAGGTTCTTATTGGAAGAATTATTAGACTTTTTGTTGGCTTATAATTCCAAAGAAGCAAGGCCCATATCAAAATATCTATAATTATGCACAAGGGTATTGCCACAGCAAACCATTGAATCCATGTTGGTGAAGGATGCATGTTTTCAATTGCTATTATGTTTTGAGGAGATGATATTGGTGATGCCATACCACCTACATTTGATGCTAATGCAATACCAATAATCAAACAACGCCCAAATGATACATTTGATGGTAGATTCCTAAGAATAGGTTGTATCAATGAAAAGCACAAAACAGGTGCTGCAACATTACTTATCCACATACTGGCAAATGTTGCAACAAACATATTAGCCAACAATACAGAACTGGGTTTTGTACCAGCCTTTGATAAAACCAATGTTGCCATCATTTTTGCTATATGGTATTTGCTCAATGCTCCTGCTATAGCAAATCCACCTAAAAGCAACATTATCACTGGCGAAAACATCGCAGCAAAGATTTGTTTGGTTGCTAAATGTGCATCAAGACGTGTCCCATCATCAGAACGTAGAACACGTAAACATACCACCAATAATGGAATTAGCAGTGATGTTACAAAAAGTGGCATAACCTCTGTAGACCATAAAAGACTTGCAAATACCAATAAAGCAAAACAATTCCTTTGTTCCTCATGTTTAAAAATTGGAAAATTTAGCAATAGAAGAAAAATTATAATGCACATTATCAGTATAATCATATTTTTACAAAATATGTCATTTATAGTCAAATTTCCAAATGGCGTTGATATTTCAGGCGGTGTTTTAATTATATTCCCTGGTGCTTTAATATTAACAGCATGACTCTTTCTTTCCAATCCAATGATATCTCTCCATATTGTATTTCTTTCCCAAACAATAAATTCTCTCAGATGAGTTTTAAGTTCATTGATGGCAACATCTCTATCAGCATTTGTATAGAAGTTTGAATAGATTTCCTGTACCCTAAGAATTTCTGACTCAAGTTTTTGACGTATTGATCTCTTGAATGCATAAGCCTCACTGACAACACTTGTTAAATAGTGAGACTTTAACTTACACCCAATAATTTTCTCATATTTCTTCAATATTTTTGAAAAACCTGTCTCATTAAGTGACACAAATGATTTTAGTTCAGATAGACGTACAAAAAGTTCAATAACCTGTTTTTTAAAAGCTATTTTTTGTTCTTCAACAGTTGGTGGTCCCCATAAAAAAGAAATCCTGCGATCATCACGATCACCAACATTATTATTATTATCAAAATCAACTGAAAACCTTATACGACTAGGTTCCTCACAAATTTCCCCTCCCCCAACATCATCATTACTACTAATAAATGAGCCAGTTACATCAGAAACAGATCGATTTCTTCTGAATTGTAGAGAACTTTTTCTTTGATGATGTGAGGAGACATCTCGACTATGAATATATGAAGACTGCGAGCCATCAGTTGATGGATAAGATCTACTTAGATTATTGAAATTAACACTTGCACCATCTTCAAGATTTTCTATACGTGCAGCTTCAGCAATAAGTTTATCAACATCTTCATAAAGTTCTTTTTCTTTATTACAATAGAATGTATTTATTTTTGCTAATTCTTTATCTAATGCGAGTGTGAATATTGGATTGGCTTTGGTTTTACCAGCTAATAAAGGTGACTGTTCTGTTATTCCAGTTTCAGCATCAGTTGAAGTTGAAGTTACATTTACATCTTTTTCGAGTTGATAAATAAGCTTTTTTAAATTTGAATATCTATCGAGATAGAGAAAATTAAGGATAAGTTTGATCAATCAATCTTTTAATATTGTAATAATAATTAAATGATTTATTGAATTGACATTAATTATTCTTTTGGAACAGAAATAATATATTGAAAGGATACGCAATGTAATGGTCAGCCCAATCAGGAACTGCGTTAAATTGTATCGAATGAGAAAATTTCATTCTAAAATTCTAAGCAAGTTGTAAAAATGAAATTTGTCTCGAAGAATTTTTAATGTATATATATATATATATATATATTTGAAATTTTTATAAAATTTTTTTTCAGGAAAAAAATTGTTTTGGATGGATAGTATTTTTATAATAATAATATAGATATGATAATTCAAAAACTAACTTAGCCAAAAAAATCACAATTAGAGTTAACTTATTGAATTATTTTATCACGTTTTCGATTTTAACCATTAAGTGGTAGCAAAAAACCTTTTTATACTATATTAGTTTTATCTATCAAAGGAACACCTCGTTATAACGAATATAATGTAACATTTTTCTAATAACGAATTTTATATCCGATATTTGCTTACCAAAAATAGCATCTGCACCTCAGAACGGATTATCCAGACAAATTTAGAAACAGGATAAAATAAGGGGCTTAGAAGGTTTGTACGCCAAACTCCCTAATACTAATAGAACATTTCTCTCATTCAGGGATCAATGTCACTCACGGGTTGTGGTATATACGATGTACGATCGTACAGCTTCGTTGTGGTCGTACACCTGTATGAGGAAATTTTAGTATTGTACGTAGCAAGAGACGATAATTTTCTACGGTGATAAAATATTATTACTATTACTATTACTAGTAATTACCCCTTTTATACACATTTCCGTGACCTATATACTCTTTTTTATCAATCCAAAATAATTTATAGTGGTGTCAAAAACACAATCATATCTTCAAGCATACACAGTAGTTAATTCCACAATACATCTTTTATTCCGGCGGTTAAAGATTTGAAAGATTACATCATTGAAGATGATGAGTTTTATAACTTGAATGTCCAAAGTATTGATCATCCAGCAATAAGAAAATGGAAACTAAAGATTATATTAAAAAAACGATATATATTGTCCTTTTTTATGAAATTTTTTTTGGCATCAACCAATAAAATTGTCATAAATCACGTATAATGTAATGTACTAAAGCTCGTATATACGTGTACGAGTACGAATTCCGCTCATATAAAATTTGTGAAAAAAAAAACCAAAATTTAAAATAGATACATTTATTATTATTAATATATAGAAATTTTTGGGGTGGTTTTTATTATCGAATTACTAAATTTGGAACAAAGATAGGCGATCTCCGCCACCTCACATAAAGCATATGAAAGCTTAAATTATTTTACATCTTCTCAAGACATTTATTTACAGCAAAATTGAACAAATGTGGTGCCATTTTCAAACTGTCATAACTTTACATAAATAGTTCCTTTTGATATAAAAAAAAATATTCATTAGAAAGCTTTAATGGTATAGTTTGAAAATAATGAGTTGTTTTAAAGATTTGTTGGTCACACAGCTTTAATTTTTTTACATGTCACCAAGAATAATAATACTTGACTATATATGTCTAAAATTCGTTATAATAATAACGAGTTCGATTGTACTGCGTTGTTTCCATCATAATATTTAAAAAACTGCAACCGCAGCATATTTTAATTTGATACTCGAAATGGATTTTCTAGATCAGAGTTTTTGATTGTTATAATGAAAATCAGAAAAAACTGGAGTTAGTGGTAACTAGCTTGGCATTTAATATTTCATTCATAAATTTATTAAAGATGATATAAACTTCATGATTTTATCCTTTTCTTCCAAAAAGATGCGTTTTTTTTTTTCATAGATGCTCGTCGAATCACAAAGTAATTATCCGGCAATTATCAAAGAATATAGGATACACCACACTTGTACATTTCGAAAAAAAGTTTAGAGCACATGAGCAAATAAATTGTTAAATTCGTTATGAGCCAGAGAAAAAAAAACGTGGAAATTTCATATCGCTAATCATTTATGATTCATAGATGTGCGTTTAATATTAAACAAAAAAAACAGATATAGTCCATTGATTATATCAATAATCAGATCTTCGAATAATCGGATCTATCCACATGGAATATTAGCAATTAGTATAGTGATAGACACTCGAATGACTCACCAATGTTACACGTAACAACAAAACCAGGCAAAATGAACATTGATACTACCAAAGATTTCAGAGATCAAAATTTTTTTAACATAAAGATCCCATTTTATTTTATTTTTTATTATTATTAATATTATAAAGAAAGCAAGAAATTCTTATCAACAGATGAGTGATTGGGTCTGGGTCACGTTACCGACACCCACTTTATTGACAACCACTTTACTACCGATAAGGCACTTTACCGACAGGACACTTTACCAACAGGACACTTTACTGACAGGATACTTTACAGACAAGACATTTTACCGACAAGACACTTTACTGACAGGACATTTTACCGACAAGCATTGTGTTAACGATTTTCCAAGTACTGACCTTGCCCTACAAATCATTAACTAATAACACAACTTATTATCCTTACTTTGCATCAAAAACCAGTTCATAAAAATACAATATAGATACATGTGTAATATTTTTTTTGTCTGACAAAATTGATAAAAATTGCATATTCGGACTTCATGTTATTATTTTAATTATAATTGTGATGAATTTATTTCTCATTTTTAAATAAATGAAATAATTAAATCTTTTCTCTCGCATTTGAATACTTTTAAACATAATTTCTTGAATTTTTATGAAAAAAAAAAAGAGTAATGATTTTGAATGTCAAACTCACACCCTTATTGTTATTATATAAAAAACGTTGAAAAGCCCAAATTGTCAAAATAGTTCGAGCTTTGAGAAACAGTTTGGGCAAGAAACCTTACTGGATTGTCGGTAAAGTGTTCGGGTCCCGAGTGGATTCAAGCAATTAATTTAACTAATATAATGGAGAGATACTTATAAATGGGTTTTTATTATGAAAAATAATAATAATAAAATAAATTAAAAAGTGGCTTCGCAGTTGTATGTGTCTATATATATTGAAAGAAAGCCAAACCTATAACTAATAATGAACGAAAATTGGCTGTGATATAAGAAACTGGACTGAAAATGATCATTCATGCCTTGTTTTTTTTTCAAATTTATCTCCATTGTAAGGAAACCCTTTTCCTTACGTCAAATATACGTCGAGTTTAATTTGTAAAAATACGAATTACTCTTTATTAATTAAAGAAAGCTTATTAAATTACAATTAAATAATTAATTATCAATAATAATATCTTAGAACTTTCCGGGAAAGCTGCAGCATTTAATTGGTAAATAATAAAATATATTGATAATAACGCATACTAACAATAATATAAATAATAATAGATAACGTAAACTCGATAAGCCAAAAAGTTTCACCCCTTTTTTTTACTATTTAAAAAAATTTCGATTAGTCGGTCGATTTATATAATGTCGCGATAAGCGCTAAGTCGGTCAATCATTTAACTCAATTATAATTAAATGAATCTTAGTAATGTGTGATTTAGCAAAATGAATATTTGTAATAAAATATCTGGCGTAAAAAAAATATCTTTATTGTTCATTTTTTATAATTTAGAAGGAAGAGAGCATTCACACTTGCGAACTAATTTCATATTTTATTATCTCCGTCAGTTATAATGCATAATCACACATCCATTTTTTCTTGTCAAAAAGAGAACTTTTTTCGCTTTAATCATTTGATGATTTATCATGAACAATGCATTAATATTTTATTATTTCGGAAGTTGTATCATCGATTGTATCATTCATTTATCATAAATAGTGCATTAATATATTATTATCTCATCAGTTATATATATCATCAAGAATTTAGAGGACATTCTTGTCTAATCACGAACAATACATCTTATCTCATTTTCATATCATCACTTATATCATCGATTATCCAGTGTGTTTGTATTCCTATTAAATTTTATTATGTTCAAAATCATGTGTAAAAAGATTGATTTCGCAGTCTTTTAATGTTTGAGATAAAAGATAGATAAATAAATTTTAAATTTAAAAAATCACGTGAAATTCAATAACTCGGTTCTCTTGATAAGTCGGTCATAGGGATCCGTCCCGACATGATCAATTTATAGAGTTTACATATATATCTAATGGTAATGTTTTAATGTCGATGTTTACACGCGAAACAAATTTAGTATGACTGTGCCACAAATTAAGGAAAATTGATATGCTGTTACAAATTTATTTTTAAAAATTGATCCAGTTAAGTTACGTACGAAGCCATGATTTCACCCTTCATTTCTCCTGTATGTTTTCATAGGAACGATTAACCTCAAAGTTTTGCAATTAATCTCTTTTCTAAATACATGATTTAATAATACAGAGTGTTTGTAACCACCCCACGGCCCCGTACGCTTGCTTATCAGAACCCGTTCGTCGTCTAAAGGCACCAATTCCTCGTCATCATTGGTGTTGGCCACATATACATCATCAGACGATGATTATGACGATGGTTCGATGCTATTAACACACACATATATATTGCAATAAGATAAAAATCAATGAAGCCTCTTTTTTAAAGAAAAAATTGAATAAGTAAACATACTTTATTGGTATCGATGATGAATTCGGATTGGCTATATTATTGTTATAGTAAAATTCTCAACTGGTAATGATAATATTAGCAGGACAATCTACAACCGTCTGATCATCTATGGATCCCTTGAGTGATTTTTTTTTTAAAACAAATTAGATTGTGGTTTGGTGTAATAAACTATTAAATAGAGGATACGACGTAAATA